CCCCCCCCCCCCCCCCCCCTCTGCTGCAGCTTTTGTAGGTCCCTTATCTTCTTTACATCTTATAGACCTGTATTAAACATGACAAGGTCATGGGTTCTTAGACAAGCAGCTAGGGAGGACTGAGGATTGGGTGAGTATTTCTTCTTTATTTTCGCCACCCTGGACAAAACAAGCAGTTAACCCTTGCAGTGAGGGGGTAGCTCTTCTTCAAGGGTTCAGTTTGTACACATCCTGGAGTTCTTCTTTAAAATGTAATCAGTCCAGTTTAAGAGTCTGGAAAAGCCCAAAGATCCTACATATCAATGCAGAAGTCTTATTCAACCACAACAGAACTTCAGTTTTAAAGTTTCGATATGTTTGTTGTATGTTTGTACTGTTTTACCTTATTTACCGTCAAATTGTCCTTATTTTTACACCCCTCTCACACTTGTTCTAAGAAACAGGAATTGTTGACTGTGATTTCCAAATAAATGTATGAGAACATATTATATGCCTTGATATAAAACATCTAACCAAGTGATTTCAAGTTGAAATCCAGGTCATTTAATGCAGTTATTGCATGCATTATAAGATAACTGAATATATTATCAACATCAACTAGTAGAAGCATCTCTGTATTTGCCCTGATATCTGCCCGTGTTATCCCTTTTACAGTAGACTTCAGATTCAGCCTCTGCTGCATGTATGTATGTGTGCTGACATGGAACATGCCAACAGTAAGGAGGAGGAGAGATATTACCTTTCAGTCTCCTGTTGCTCCTTTACAAGCAGGTTGTATGGAGAGGACCAAGCTATGTTGCCTAACTGAAGCAGAGCAAAGTCAGGTCACCAGCATGACTCTCCTGTCTAGCAGTGTTTGCTGGAAACGATTAGAAATCCTTTGTCAGGTATAGCAGCTTCTAAATATGTATTTTAAATGTGTACTTAGCTGCTTGCCTTAATATGCATTAAAAACACAAATCACTTAAGTACATCAGTTTACTTACTTTACATAAACTGCTTTAAATTTAAAGAGTGCCTCTCATGATAGAAAGGGAGGATGCCATTGTTGGCTAGTTTCCTGGCCGTGAATGGCTTCAACGTTTCTGAGCTAGTGACCGCAAAGCAATTGTATAGCAAATTACCATTTCATACCAAGATGGGGCTGAACACCTTACCTGAGCAGCCCTCTGTGCTATGGCAGCATTCAGACTGGTTAGCTGCATCCAATTTGTATGCAGTGAGAGAACACCAAACCTGGAAGCAAACTGTCTGCAGAGGCCCTAATCACATGCAATTGCTCTAATAATCGATTGCAAACAGCAAATAGATTATTGAGTTATGCAAGATACAGATCTGCCTGCCATGGTTGTTTGCACATGTTGTGCATGGGGCCAATGTTTTTGCACCAATTAGCCATCTGAATTAGGCCGAACGGTCTTTTAAATATTTATCTTATGACCAGTTTCTATTAATTCACTTAAGATCATTGACATCAACGGGTCACCGAGACAAGAAATTGTCATAAAGAAGCTCCTATTTATTTGACAAAATTACATTTAAATATTAGCTCCTAAGGACACAGTAGATGCCCATCCCTTATATTTACATTTGTCCTAAACTATCGCCAAGCAATATTTTGTTACGAATCACAGTAACATTTAAAAAGAAGGTTATAGGCATTGCCAGTGAACACTTACCCAGCTCAGACTTTTCTTTAAACACATCTTTGAAGTTAAGTCCACTATTTAATATGGATTGTCTGTACTTCAAGATACATTCCTTCTGTCCATTTTTTCCCAGTTCCTTGAGCTTTATGGGTAACGCACGCAGGCCACATTTCCATTTGGAAAAATCCAAGTGTGCCCATTTTACTATATCTTCAAGCTTGACTATTACTTTTTCTGAAACGGCAATTACCTCATCCTGTAGAAAAAAAAATAATAATGGCAATTAGGAGATTACCAAAAAAGATCATTTATTCATCTATACACGCCGTTAACTAAATTAGCTGTAATATTGTTTAGTGGCCACGGGCTTGTCATGCAATTAAAAGACAACTCTAGTTTAAATGATACTTTTTATAGAAAAAGAAAAGGAGAAACCAGAAAAAAATGCTTATGAAATAGCAAAATAAATAAAACAGAAAACACATTTTTCTATTCTTCACCACACATTTGCACAGAGAATTATCACACAACAAAACACATCAGTCTTTCAAGAGGAATTCTGACCATTAGCAGAGGCTGCATGCTTTGCAGTGCTAGATTCAAACACATCTAGTGTGCAGCATATTGTTCAGCAGTCTGCCTTTGACCTGAAGGGGTTGACTTTAGAAATAAAATATTCCTCTTTTTTATGTGAACAAAGAACACAAACACAATTGTAATGGGCTCATTGTCACTTTGCTGACTTATTCGAGCTAGATGGAAAACCCAGAATATAAGGAATTCATACAGATGCATTGTATGTGGAGATGTGTTGATGCCGCTATAAAAATATGGCGAATGAAACATGTTATTTAAAATTATAGGGAAGCCGAACAATGTTGTTACATGAAAATACTTCCCAAAATGGGCTAAATAGGCTATTGTCACGAGCCAAGAATATCATTCAAATCAAAGCTGTTGGTTGAAATGGCATTATACCATTCAAGGAGGTGTTTTTCTTATGAAAACATATTTTATAGGAGTGTCAACACTACTGTTCAAATATAAGCAAGTCATTACTGATTTTAAAATTGCAGTGTTTAATTGACATATGGGATTATTTATAAAGAAGTAGATGTGACATTTACTGGTGCATGCGTTTTCAATTAAATGAAAGGATTCACCTGCAGCTAAGATTGGTGAATGTCACATGCATTGCTTTATAAATATACCCCCATCATGTACTACAGTAGACAGTTATGGTTGGTTGAGCATTTTATATCAATGCATATGTATATGGTTTTATTGGAGAGGTTAAGAGTAAAATAAACTGGTAAAAATATAAAAACAGAGCGCCCCTTTCATGTGTACAACATTTGCATAAGCAAATGCTGAGCCTAAGCACACAGCGGCAGGTACCAACAGAGATGTGACCGGCGGATGTTTTTGAATACTTGCCAGTGAGGAAAGGTTTCTGCGTATACGAATGTGACGCTCTTGCAGATTACTACAAACCCACGCGTATATGATGGTGCTTTTGTGAGTACATTTAACTTTAATAAAAATGTTCTACACAGGAAAGGGGCGCACTGTTTTTATCTTTTAACATGTGCTGAGGGATTCCCTAACTTTTTGAGGAGCTCTCGCGGTTAGTGTGGAGAGGCTGCTACTGCTTGAAGATCTCGGAGATCCTACTAGCGCCGAGACTAAGGCGTTTAATGTAAATAAAACTGGGTTGAATCTCAGAGCAGATGCACTTCAATAAGGTTAAGCCAGGAGTTTTCCTACCCTTTATTATATATGTGTCCTATTGCACTCCTGATCAGTAGATCCCAAGATTAATGGTGGGTGCTGCAGTGACAAGCAATAGAGAAAACAGTCACCAGCACTCCAACTGTGATATAACTTTGTCCTTTATTGACACAGGTCCATCATTTCACAAAGCAAAATTTTCAGGGCCATATAGGGTCCCTTCATGCCACATAGGGTCCCTTTGCGGCCCTGAAATGTTAGTTTGTTTTGTGATATGATTGACTTGTGTCAATAAAGGACAAAGTTATACCACAGTTGGAGGGCCGGGTGACTCTTTTCTCTATTTCCTACCCCTTATGCCACAAAACAATAACCAGCCTGAAAATGATTCATGTATTTTTATATATTCAATATCTTTATGTATCCAAGTTACTTTTTAACCCCTTCATGACTGAGGCCCTTTTTTCCATTTTTGCACCCATGTTATATTCCACATTTTAGGCCTGAAAATGACGTAAAACCCCCCAACATTATATATTTTCTGAATGCCAAGACCCTATAGAATAAAATGGTGGTAAATCCACATCGCTGAATCATGGAAAGTGTATGCATAGTCTATGCAACGTTTGTGTGGTTTTGTATAGAGAAAGGTTAGGTTACAACCCCTGTTAGTTTATTTATTGTTGTCTCTGTCCCATTGGGGGTGATCTTCTGTCCAAGAGACACAACAGGAAATGAGAGATTTGACAGCTGTCACCGCAACGGGTGTCTTCATTGGAAGATTTACCCCAATTGCTTCGTCTGGTGACAAATGTAACATTTTCAATTTACCATTACTTTTAGTCTCAGATAAGAAGTGACTCAGAAGCATCTCAAATGTATTAATCTGTATGCAGGATGCATTTGCCTCTATATAAAAGCCCTTAGCGTTACCTGCTTCCCTAGGTAACCCTAAGCCCTTTAACTAAACTCAGATCTATACCATTTGCACAGGAGTCATTTCTGATTATGAAATGCTGGTAAGCCTCTGAAATAGGTTAATACATGGAGATATGCTGCATGCAGTCACTCCTAACCCCTCAAGATTTTATTTACCAAATTTTGTTACCATTCCCTGTTCCTCATTAGATGGCAAACTGTAGCAAAGTGTCCTCACACCTTTTGGAATCTGTTATGTTTGGTATTGCTATTGTTCTGCATTGTTATTGTGCATGTGTGATATATAAAGCTACACACTACAGGTAAAAAAATATATATATTTACATTCACAGATAGTTCGGGTGATTATAGCAGCAATCACATTTGAAGTTAAAAAAAAAAAAACACATCAATGAAAATATAGATATCCTCAGTGTAACAGTTCAGCTATTTCACATCACTGCCAAAAGAAGGGCTGCATGGTGAATGAAGACTTTTAAGTCCATTTAGAAGCAAATGCAAGTTGTCATGCTGTGATGAATAATGGTTTGCTCATCTTTACAGAAATGAATTTAATATAAATTCTTGAAACTTTTACAAAAGAACAGGCTTTTGTTTAGTATGTGTTTTGTCAAGTTTTGAACACAAGATACCGATTCAATTTATTTCACTGCAAAAAAAATAAATAAGGAATTGGAATGATTGCATAGAAATCATCATCAGCTGATACACATTTGTATACTTTTATCGTCAGCTGATACACATTTGTATACTTTTATTGTCAGCTGATACACATTTGTATACTTTTATCGTCAGCTGATACACATTTGTTTACATCACCAGGTGATACGTATTTGTTTATCAAAATAGCAGTAAAGTAAAGCAAAAAGCAGTTTATTTTCTGCTATCAATGTTCAAATAGATAATAGATGACACTACCGGTAGCATATTTTCTAAGCAAGGCTCATCAAATGAAAGCTCCCACATAAACTAAAAAAAATCTTGGTCTTAAAATAGTTACATTTGTGGCACGGAATTTTGGGGAATTAAAAGGCTCTTCTAGCAGCATGTTGAATAAATGACAAAATAAACTTTGGTGAGTATGGCATTCAGGATTTGACGGTTACCCGAAATAGGCAAATTCATGTTATTCAGTAAACAAACACATTTCCAATAAACTGGTTGATGGAATAAAAAGAAAAAAACAACTGAAATGTCATTTTCCTCCACACATAGTTGCTTTTAAATGTATTTCTTACATTACGACCATAAGCAGAACACATAAAAATATGTCATTTTATTAAAGTGCATCTGCAAATGTTTAGAATCCAGTAGCTGCCAATCAAAACCTTTTACATCTTAACAGGTGCTACTGGAAATCTAGAATAAAAAAATGTAAACATGTAACATGAAACCCAATTGGGATCATAAAAAAAAAAAAAAGTAAAACAATATTGTCGAAAAAAATCTATTTCACGAAAGCTACTGACATAGGATTACAGGCAGACCTGGCAGTCAAGGAATGCCTAAAAATGTACTTGCGCCCAGACAGTGCACATAGAAGTATTACCATTCTGAACAAACCATGCGATCACAAATGAGTCCTCATTCACATCTGTAGCCATATGCATTTTGGAGAAATGAATCTTCAAAAGGTCTCAGCAGAGGGACTCAAATCTTTTTTTCTCTTTTTCCTCTGTTGCTGCAGAATCTTGGAAGCAATACACCCCCCACATTAGGTGCTTGTAAGCAGCTCCTAGAAACTAGGATTTAGATTTTAATCTATGAGTATTCTTGAGAATGACTTACTTCACAGTACATGCAGCTACAGAGGGCAGAGGTGGCTTGCTTAAAAAACTATTTTACTGCTTGTTAAAGAATATTTAAATACTTGTCTAAACTCTGGACCAAGGTGCACTTTAAGCTTTGTGTGTACCTCAGAGAAAAGCAGTGAGCCAATAACACAAACTGGAAATGAGATTTGTGGGTGTTTGGACCGTACAAACAGCATAAATAACATCCCCATTATGCATTAGTTTCAAAGAAGCTACAATCTAATAAACAGGTTTGTTTTGCCCTTTGTTTAATTGGGGTAATTTACTTTCACTTCCTGCCTTGTAGACACATCAGGAAGTGAGAGGAAACCTCTCCATATTGCAAGAAATCCCCAATTAGTTGTCAACAGAACAGGTGTCCAAACTGGAAGATTTTACCTCTATTCCTGTTCATGTGACAATGCAACATTTTCGATTACAACAGTGAATCTTGCCAGCAGGTACACTGGGTGGCAAACAAAATAAAAAAAATAAGTAGTAAGGGGATAAAGCCAATCTAAAAGAAACAATGCCAGTAAATAACGTAAAGCACCAGCAAGTAATCAGGCAGCAGTTGCCGAATTCTCAACTTCAACAACTTACAATGACGCAGTATTAACAGAATTGGACATAGTCTTGTCTAAATATGGGCAAAACAAAGCAAGGTTTGTGTGGGTGGATCTTTACACTGTATATGTTTTTAATGGGCATTTTGCCAAATTATTACAGATTGCAGATTTGCCTTGTGTAAACAGCAGAAACTTGCCTTCTACAATAATTTTCATGCTGCATA